AGCCCCAGATGATGGTGGCTTCACACAGGAGGTGCCTGGCTCTTGGGCCATGCAGTGATGAGCACAGCAAAGGGCTGGCCGGCCTGGCCCCCCGGGGTGGATGGTCACCCAGGAAGGGAGGAGTGAGGGCAGTGTGCCCAGCACAGCCCCGCCAAAGGGGATGGTGCCTGGGAGAGCTCCCGGGGGGTGACAGATCTTCACTCCGGCAGCGGCACTTCATCCGGGAGGTGAACACGACCAACCGGGCCTGTGTGCTGTGGGACTTGGCAGAGGATGCCGACTACATCATCCAGGTGCAGAGCATTGGCCTGTATGGAGAAAGCCAGGCCAGCAAGCGTGTCCACTTCAGGACTCTGAAGGAGACCGACCGCCTCCCTTCCAACAGCTCCAACCAAGGTGAGGCAGCTCCTTCCAACTCACCCAGGGGCCACCGGTGGGGTCGTGCCCAGAGGTCTCCATGGCATGTGGGCAGGATCCAGGAGCCAGCAAGGCTGCTTGGGGAACACATAACGGGTAGCAGGGTTGTACAGGCTGCTGTTGTGTCCGCTGTGGCCACGGTAATGTCTCCAGGTCCTGGTTTACAGCCCTCCCATCCCAGATTTTGGCACTCTCTTCATCTACGCGGGCTGTGGCCAGGACACCTGCCCTGGTCTGCTCAGCTGCTGCCCATGGAAAGCAAACACTGAGCGGGGTCTCCAATCTCCCATCCTGCAAGCTACCAAAGGACAGATGATGGAGCCTCACAGTCTCCTTTCCTACTCATATCCATGTTGTGCCTTCTCATCTTGGGGTTGCCTGCACGCTGGTCCACGACAGATGATCCAAGAATCAAAGCTGATGCCCAGAGAGGTCCACTGGGCACAGGAGTCTGTCTCCAGCACTAGCTGTAAGAGGGGACTTGAGGAGAGTGTAACAGGGCGAGCAGATGGCTTGCAGTCCTCAGAACTTTTCTGTTCAGCTTGGGACCTTCCTAACCTGCCCTACGTGGGGAATAGCCTCAGTGATTACTCCCATGCCTTGTGCAGTCCTTTCTTGAACCCAAACAAACTCTTAGAATCCCTGACTACCTTTGATAGCAAGAATGGTTTATCAGACACAGGAAAGCCACAAGCTACTTGTCCTCTCCCCAGCCAAGATGTCATCCCACATGCATCCTTCGTTTGGGGAGGTGGGCCTCTCTCCTCTGGAGCTCCTTCTCAGATTCTTGAGCGTTGCTAGTCCTGAAGTAGGTTCTGGTGGGAGGGTATCTGCTGCCAGCCCTGCCTGGCTTCTCTTCTCTGCAGGGGACATCACCATGGAAGGGCTGGACAAGGACAGGCAGCTGCAGACTGGCGAGATTATCATCATCGTGGCTGTGCTGCTTATGTGGGCAGGTGAGTGCCCCACCCAGGCGGGAGTAGACCTGCAGTCCAGGGCCCACAAAGAGGATGGGGCTTGAGAGAGTGCAGAGGCGTGCTGGTGTGGCTCTGGCATCATTTCCAGTAACTCCACTGAGTCTCTATAGGAGTTTGAGCCAGTTCAGTAAGAGGAGCAGCCACACCCGGTGCTCAGCAGCGGTGGCGAGGGCCACGTGGGCTGGCTAGCCTGACTGCCCTGCTGGGAGAGAGCAGGAGGAATGTACGACCCCAGTAACACAGGGTTACAGGGTGGGAGCATCCCAGCTGATGTGAACTGGCCTTCGCTGGCTCCTCTGACATCTGCTGACATTGCTGCGCTGGCTGGTGGCAGCTATGCCTCAACCTGTGAGAGCTGCGAGATGGGTAGTGTACTCCTGTCCCACACCAGTGCTCTAGCAAGGCTTTACTCAGGTGCTTTAATGAGGTGCTTTAATCAGGGTGTCTGGTGGGCAAGGAAGCCTTGGAGCCAGCAGTCAGCTCCTGACTGCTCACAGGCAGCTGCTGCCAACGGGAAGCCATCTGTCCCTTACTCTATTCGCAGTAAATGTGGAATTTCTAGGGGCATCTTGCAGGCATCTCTCCTTATCCTGGCCTTGAATATTTTGCTAGTGTACTGGAAAAAAGTACAAGGTGGCTGCTGCTAGCTTATGCCTCTTGGAGGTCGTTGGTGTGTCAGCACCAACAGGGAGAAGTGGATGCAGTCTGTGGGTGGCTGTGGTAACACACGGTGATTGGAGCGGGTCTGACATGTCCAGTGATCACAGATCAGATCGTAGCTCCAGAGTCCTGCGTCCAGGGTCCCAAGGCATGGGACATGTGACAGACCCCACAGTTGGCCTGAAAGACAGGGCAAGGACGAGGGTGGCTGTTGTGAGGGTCACAAGCACTGGACCTATGACTTGAGTGCCTCGCTGGAGGCCCTCAGAAACCCACTCAGCTGCTCGCTGACCTCGAGAACTGTCCCTCTCCAAGCGCCTCCAGCATCTGCCTTTGGCCTCAGAGCCCTGCGCTGAGGCACTGATCATTAAGACCATGCCCTGATGGCATCAGCCACCCGTGCCTTGCCTGCCTGAGAAGCCTGGCCTGGCCGTGAGTGGAGGTGCCGGGGGTGTTCCAGGCTTAGTGAGGTGATGAGCGTGACCCCAGGGTGGCCTGGGCCTGGCTGGGACCCTGGCGTGCCTGGGCCTGACTGGGATGCTGTGGGAAGGGAAGGCAGGAGACAGCCACCGAGAGGGAGTCCTTCATCCCCTGTCTCCCGCAGCGGTGATCGCCCTCTTCTGCAGACAGTATGACATCATCAAGGACAATGACTCCAACAACAACAAGGAAAAGACAAAACCATCCTCGGAGCACAGCACGCCAGAGCGACCAAGCGGAGGGCTGCTGCGGAGCAAGGTGCGTGGGGAGGGCTGGCAGGAGGGATGGCGCGTGGCATCTGCTATGCCTTGCTGCCTGGGTGGGTGCTGCTGCTCTCCAGAAACAAACACCCCAGCTCATGCTGTCACTCCAAAACCTGAAGGCTTTTAGGGTGCAGTGCCTCTGGGGCACTGTGTGCACCCCATGGGCGATTGCAGGAGAAGCACGGGAAGAGACAGCAGGATATCTTGGCTGGGATGGCTCCCACGTTGTGGGGTAGTACCTGTCCTCTCACTGTCTCAGCCCCTTACCCACGTGCCTCCATGACTGTGCCTCTTCTGCACCCACAGACAGGCCTGGCTCTGACCTGTCCAGGCAGGAGGTGGACAAGCTGGGCAGCTTTTCTTACGGTTCTTGCACTGGTCTATCGCTGCTCGCTCTTAGCTTTTGCTGGGGCCTGCTCCAACCATCACCGCACAAGTTGTCTGTGGGAAGGACACCAGAGCCCCTTCCCCACCCTGGTGGCAATGCTATGGGGTGCTTTGGGTGGGAAGGGAGCCAAACTTTCATCTGGCTGTTCCGTCTGCACCTGACACTTCTCCCTTTGTTCCTTGACAAAGCCAGTGAGTTATAGCCCTGATGCACCTGCTGCACCTGCTGCATGACTTTTTCCCTTGTGTCTCATCTGCCTCTTCTGTCGATGGTGAGAGCTCCACTCAGTACATTGCTAACTGCCCCTCTGCTTCCAAAGCTTGGTTTCCAGCAGATGTCAGGAGCAGAAACTCCTTATTTGGACTTCGGGGTCCCAGTTCTCCCCCTCCAGATTTTCCAGCTTCCTGAATACTCCTTGCCAAAAAGATCCCTCCTCTAAGATGCCTGCTCCAAACTGACCCTGCTCGTATAGGGCTGCAAAGGCCTCTTGCTGCTGCTTGCAAAATTCACCTGTGCAGGGCTGATGCACCTCACTGCATCCTTCTGCATTCACTGTACTCTTGGTGTCCCTGCAGGTGACAGCACTGCAAGCTTGTTCCTGCAGTCCTTAATTACAAAGCTGGGAACAAGATATAGGAAAGAAAAAGCTCTGCATTCGCTTCCCCTCCTGGCTTCAGGGCCAAGCACGTAGCAGATAATGCAGCTCTTGATCTGAGCCCTGTTATAAAACACGATCGTGGGGACACTCACCTCCTGCTTCTGGCTTCAGCATGCAAGGGCTGAGCTCCAAGACATGCGTGTAGCAGCCAGGACCCCCTCCTTCCCTTCCCAGTACCTTCTCCCAATTCACAGATCTGCTGTGCTCGTCAACCAGCACATTCCTTTTAAAGTGTCTGCTCGTGCCTTCAGCAGTTTTTGAGAACATCCACCTCACTGCCTGCAGCCTTTTGTTCCCTTGGCACACGCCGGAGCTGCCATGAGGGACCTGGCAGCGAGACATGCCTGGTGCTCAGCCGACCTCATCTGTCCTTCCACGTCAGTCATCCCATGCATTGTGGATTCTCCGCCCCATGGCAGATGTCCTCCTACCCACTTGCTTACCTTTTGAGCTCTGACCCTGCACCTTCCTCCCGTCCAAGGCCATCAGCTGTGCTGTGGCTGCCGTTAAGGACCAGACAAGCCACCAGCCACCAGCAAGCCCTGGAGGCTGAAGAGTGTGGGGCAGGGGGCTGGTTCACCCAGGAGTGCTGGGATGCAGCAGTGGACAGAAAGGCCTCCTGGCAGGGCAAACGTGTGATTGAAGGGGCTTGCCTGGAGTGAGGCACGGAGCGATGCAGTTGAGCTACTGGAGCCTTTCTGCCAGGAGAGCACATCAGTGCAAAAGGATGGGATTTGGAGTTTGATCCCTTGCTCCCCAGAAGAAGACACTGAAGTCAGGTCGCCGCTGCAGCTTGCTCTCCCCAGCTCAGGGTAGAAGGCTTGGTGGCAGCACTTTCGCAGAGTGGAGGGCCGCTGGGCTCAGTGCCGTGGGAGGCTGGGGGCTTGCCCGTGGGGGCTGCATCCCAGGGGCTTAGCCTTAAAGCAGATTTTTTTCTCTCATAGAAGAAGTCTCCCTCAGTCAATATAATCGAGGTGTAAGTGCAACAGCAGCTCTGCATTTGGCATCCCGGGCGTCCCACCAGAGCCAAAGCAGGCCTGGGAAGAAGAGGAAGTACCAGACGCCCAGCCTGGAACTCTGCATGCAAAGATCTGCGTATGAGAACTCACGCTTTCCCAAGGGCACCTGTCCCAGGACATGCATGGAGC